CTTGTGAAGGGAGTTGTGATGGGACTTGTGAAGGGAGTTGTGATGGGACTTGTGAAGGGACTTTTGATAGGACTTGTGACGGGACTTGTGATGGGACTTGTGATGTACTGGAATACAATCCTGGTGTGCCGTTGATGGAAATCCTCTAGGGTTAAATGTTCCAGTCTTTGTAGTGTTCAGGTCAGAGTTTGTATGTGAGGAGACTTTTCCTGAATACTTGGATTTTTGTTTTTTTTTTGTTTAGATGGGGAAGCATGGACTTCACCAGCAGTAACTTTGAGGAGTTGATGGCCAGACGGAACATTCACAATGAAGAAGATTTCAAGAGACTTAAGAGTCTTAATATCTTCTATCAGGAAGGCACCTCACGCTGTGGACATCCAGTTTTCTACTATATCGCTCGTAAATACAAGTAAGTCCCTCTGGAAGGACAATGTGAAAAGTCTGCCACAGAAAATTGTATCTCTCTTGTTATAAAAGTTGGGTTTAGTTACCCTTTGTCGTGCTTTTAACGAGATTCTGTGTGATTTGCACTACATCAAGAGACTTTTACCCGAACATCTCAGAAAAAGATCTTACTTCTCTGAAGGGCCAGTTGGGAGGAGCTACTAAGGCTGTGTCTGAATTACTAGGTTATGGCTAGAAATTATGCATGAACATATTGTTAGTGGCTACATTCAGTTCCCATAGAGTTATATGAAATTTCAAGCCGCAGCCAAGTAATTTGGACACAGCATAAGCACAGAAATTCACCATTAGCACATAGAACATCCACTTTTAGCAAAAATGGGTTACCAGCCAAAAAGTCTGTGATGTCTGTTGCTTCTGACTGGTTCCCGGTTGAATTTTGCTCAACACATCAATTTGAAAAGCTGTCAGTTCCACTAAGCCACTTCATGAAATTTGGCCCAAGGGACACTTTCAAGAAAAGAGCAAAGGTCTATGCAGTACAGTTTTCATAATTCAATCCTTGAAGATTCACTTTTTTGTCTCAACCTTGTTTCCAATTCTTTTTGCTATTTGTAACAGAATTTGGAGCCTACTGTGTTTTATGCTGATGATATTTTCATAGTCATGAACAAAACTGTGGTGTCTTTCCAAGCAGAAAACCTCAATGTTACATTGATTTGTGTTCCAAAAACTGTTGGATTTTTTCTGTTTGGTGGCAAATATTTCCTTTTTTTTTGGATGATTTATTCAGTAAGCCATTGAGCAGTTGTTTTTCAGCAATGTTTTCATTTAGCAAGTTTATGATCCAAAGTGTGAACAGAAAAGCTCATAAAATAATTACTGCATTGCTGAATGAAATCACAGCAATGTTGCCTTCAGTTGCCTCGAAAAGAATGGCCAATTTAAATATTTAAAAACTGCACTTTTCAGCATGCTCAATTTGTCCACAAGGAATATTAAATAGTTTGAGATGGCTTGGGTGCTTTAACCCCTTGACGGCGGCACTTGCCTTACCCACGTGACAACACTAACTACCCATTGACACTCGGCCACAACGAAGCGTGCAGCGCCGGCTGAGTTCACAAGGTCTAGGCTTGCCACAGGCGGGCACCGAGGCTCGTGTTCCCGCTCCCTTGTAGTGCATGCATGCCCAGCATCAATGCCCAATTGCCAATTGCCAATGAAAATTTGCCCATTTTTCATCTTGCGCTGTGTACGCACATAATTTTCTTGCATATTTCTAAGTTTTGTTTTTTGCAAGTCGTATTCAAAGCCCCTTTCTGAATGTAATGATATATCTAACACAGCCCCCTTCTAACTAAATCTTTTCCATAATTATAAAATAAAGCGACACAAGAAAAACACAAGATTCAAGTTTGATAAACCTTGAAACAGTTCTTGCACTTGAACACCAGTGTGCCTTGAAAGCGGTGTCGGTGAGGGAAGTTGTCATCAGCCGTCCATTGAATGGACAAAGTCTTGACCTTCTTCTTGGCAGGCCTCGCTCCCGAGTCTGGGTGCTGGGGTGCTGTGCACGTGTTCAGGGCCCAGCAAGGCCGTAAACAATGGCGTGCACACCATGTCAATGGCCTGTATTCATCACGCTCCGGGCCCACACAAAGTGCGTTGCGTAAGCCCTGACAGCGGAGTCAGCGACACTCCACGGAGATTACCCACGGTATTCAATCAAAGACAAAAGGGGTGTTCTGATGAATAAAATCCAATTTACTGGGTATCGTGGGGTCAACCAACTCTCCTAGTTACCCCAGATTTCCATTCAATGCAAAGCTCCCAGTAACTACAGGTGTACACTAAATAAAAGTTGCAGGTGTGGTATGCGGCTACCGCAGACATCCGGAAATTAGACTTTTCCAGGCGCGGCGTCTCCAGTCATCCGTCGCGAAGGAGTTAAGCAATTGCACGGCTTTAGCTGTAAAGAGAAGTGATACGTCATGAAAATATGGGAGGTATTCTCTGTTGATTTGCCCAAAGTACAGTAACTTACTGAGCTGTATTATTTCATTAGCAGCATGAAGTTGAGGTCATTTCATCATATGTCACCTTGTCCGTCCCCTACTTCAATTTGTCTCTCAATCAACAGATGCTTCACGACTACAGTACTTTTTGAATATAGTAAAATAATACAATAATAACTTTTCTGTCACAGAGGAAAAAAGTGCCTTAAACATTAGGTGGATCTTAATTTTACAAACAAGAAGGCATCGGTACTGATTATGTGGCGTGAAGTTGAATGAAAAAAGCTTGTCTTTATGTCAGGTGTGGACAGATCGATATTGACCAGCTGATCTACCATGTGAGGCTGACCGTCAAACCTTTCTATCAACGACCCTTTGAGGTCATCTTAGACTGTACCAACTTTGGTCCTGATAATCGCTTCCGTCAGCAACACCTTCAGCACTGGCTGCTGTATGCTGAGCACATGTTTGAGAATCTCCACATGGTGTATATCTACAACGCTAACTCCTGGTTGAGAGATTACATCAAGCGTAATGAAAGGATACTTACTCCATTCAAGGTGCATTGATGGACTGATTTTACTCATTGTACAATTATCGCTTGATGACCAGTTTATCAGTTGTTCTGTGACCTATGTCGTAGAGTATATTACCAAGGCCATTTTCCAATACTCAACTTCGGCTCCGTCTCAGGCTTCAACTGTTTTTAACTAGCTGACGTTGAAGCTGTAAGTGCAGTAATTAGTTCAATAGTGCCACAAAACATCAAATAAGATGCAAGAGAGTCAGAAATTACAGTAATCCAATTTAATTTAAATGCTTCAGGCCCACTATCGGGGATTTTTTTGGGAACGAAGCCTGAGACAGAGCCCAAGTCGAGTATTGGAAAAGGGCCCAAGAATCGGTTCAGTTGTTTCTTCTTTGTTAATTTACCCTGGGCTTTGAGTACTACATTAGTAGTTGTAATTCTTGCTGTAGTCTGGTTCCCAGACCAAAAGGTTCTGACTACTCTGAGAGATCTTTATGTCCAGTAACTGTCACAGTCAAGGGTCAAAATTGGGAGGAATTATTTCCAGAATTTTATGAAAATGGCTGGTTCTGTCTGATTCTCATTCTCAAAATATGGAGGGCTTGGCGTTTCAATCCTAGCAGAATCTTTCTTTGTCCAAATGAGTTGATAGGTCTACACTCGCAACATAGGGTATTTTTTGAAAAAGATCGAACTCACTGCCACATTACCTGGATTATGTTGAATCCCAGGTGATAAGTCCCGCAAGGAAAAACCATGTTGTCTAAACCCCACCTATTTTACTGATTCTGCTAGGATTGAACTGCCAGGCCGTCCATATTTTGAGATTTGTATTGTAGGTCCTTGTAGTCAGCAAGCAGTTTGCAGCAGTATTGTATTATATATCTTTGTGATTCTAATTCTGTGGGTTTTGTCCTGACTAGTTTTCCCCTGGCTTTTTCTCACTCTAAAATTCCCTTTTTCCTCTCTCCTGTCAATCAAGACTAAAATTTTCTTACCAATGATCATCTTCAATAATAACATTTAACTATTTCTACAGTTTTGAAATACAAGAGCCAGGAATTATTATATTTTGATCTGATTTCCCTAGGGGACAAGGAAGCTTGTGTTCATTGAATCAATCAGCAAAGTGTCAGAGTTCATTGAACCTGAACAACAGCACTTTCCCAAGTCTACGCTGGCTTTTGATGAAGATCTCAAGGTATTCAGCAATGCACTCAAGCTATCTGAGACGCATAAAGACACCAAGGTGTCTATGAAGGTGGGTCATAGCTCATTGTTATTCATTCAGAGCCCAGATTTATGAAGCGATTGCATATTGAGCTATGTTGGTGGTGTTTCTTGTTTCGTTAGGTTGGCCAGTTTGCTGTGCAGGTGTCTTTTGTGGATAAGACTAAGATTCTTGGAATGCCTGTACTGCTCAACGACATCTACCATGCCTCTGAGATTGATGAGGTCAGTAAGACTCTTAGATTGTGACAAAAACTTACCCAGTCTCTTCTTTTAGTCCATAAATCTCATCATGGATTAGAATATACCAGGGCACAGTTATTAGAAACTATCCTCAAGAATACCGTCAGAGGCATACATGTATTTGTCTGACAATGCTATATTTCTGGCCAGTTTTGTTCACGTATTTCTTCAAATGGACCAGACATTAGTTTTAGAAGTTAAAATCCAATAAAGATAAAGCAATCCTGTTTCTTTTGTTCTTTTGTCACAGACGGCAAATAACATGACAAACGAGTGTAAGAAACAATTCGGTGGACAATTGGCCCAAACGTCAGTAAATTTGGCTCATTCACCATGAAATTGCAAAATTAAAACATGTTGATCTAAAGGTCATCGTGGTGTAGTCAGATCTGGCTTGCTGTACACCACTCTGACCTTCATGTAAATAACCTCTGACCTCTTGGCCGTAGGTCACTCTGGTTGAAGAGAACACCTTCGCAATTACTCTTCAAGATGGACGGACATTGTCGTTCATGCACCAAGAATCAGAAGATGTCACCAAAGCCATTAATCACATCAAGACACGATGGAAGAGATCAAGACCGGTAAGTAGCTCTGTGTCTTGTCTCCTGATCCCACCAGCCTAAGTACTGCCGTGTTTTTATCCGGAGCTGTCTTTATTCCTTCAATATCCTCCAGTATGCTTTGAAGTCAGTGGCATATAACTTTCATAGGCCAATCCACAAAATTCCACATCCTTGTGGATTTTCAAGGTGGTTGGATAGTTGAGGTTTATGTTTCAGGGATTTAACTCAAACTATCTGGTAATTTAATTGAAATGTAATCAAATACTTGTGTTGTAAAAATATTTGATTCTGAATGTAATTTTCAATTTTTGCTGTCAAAATTATAATGTTAATGTCTCAAAGGTTCCCAAACCGTTGGCGTATATTTTATGTGTGCAGTATGTATGAGTGTTAACCCCTTGACGATTGGAACTTTTTTCTGAAAGCCGACTCCGAGATTTCCAGCCTCGCTTAGCCACGAAAGCCACCTGCCAAACCGCAAATTCTCGGTTTGTGGCCCTGCATGCTCTGCACGCTTTGAATTACACGGTGAAAAGGCTGATTGTGGTGGCATGCAGCTCTACTCA